AACCACCAACCAAAGGTTCTTTAGGGAGCAAAACATGGTCAGCTCATCAGAGTTTATGTTTCCAATATGTTACTTTTGAAATGTCCTGTTGTTTTCTTGTTTGTAGGTTCAGAAGCAGTGTATGGAGCTGCTTGCCACCAGACCAGACCCATCAGTGCCTCCTGTCGAGGTAACTGTGTACTATGAAAGTCTCTGTCCAGGCTGTAGATCCTTCCTGACTGAACAGCTCTTTCCAACCTGGACGATGCTCAGAGACATTATGAGGGTACACCTGGTGCCCTATGGCAATACAAAGGTATAGAACTGCAGCTGATTTTCAACCAGAAGTGATTCATTTTGAAACTCTCTGAACTTCACTTTCTTAAGCAGTTGTATTATAACTCTTGTACTGTCAGGAACTTCCTGAACTGAATTCATTCTCATGCCAGCACGGTGAGCCAGAGTGCAAAGCCAACATAATTGAGGTAATCTGTCATAGTTTGCATAGTTTTTTGGATAGGAAATGCATGCACATCATTTTAACATGCTCACGATTATCTCATCTCATCTTGGCAGGCGTGCATCTTAAATGTGACCGACCACGCAGCATTTCCAGTCATTCACTGCATGGTGTCCTCATCAGACGTGATGAAAGCAGCTCCTTCTGTGTGTATCCTTTCATCAGTGTTAGTTCTTTATGTGAATACACACGAGTTTAGAAAATGATGCAATCATCTAAATGCCTGTCCTTTTTCTCCAGTGTTTGCAGCTGTATGCCCCATCTGTGGAATGGGGGACCATAGAGTCCTGTGTAAAAGGAGGTCTTGGCCACACTCTAATGCATGAGAACGGTGTGAAGACTCGGTCTCTCAGTCCGGTTCACACACATGTTCCTTGGGTCACTTTCAACGGGGTAAGAGGTTTCAACTACAAGCACTCTGACCACAAATCAAAGGCTTTTTATTTTTGCACATACGATATCTGTCCAAATAAAAAACAGAATAAAAACAGGTTGTTTTTGTAGCATGTTTTCCTATATAGAAGGTACCTTATTTCTAGGCAATTTTTTCTCTTGTTTTTAGTCATTTTTTTAAGTAAAATTATCTCATTATGTTGGCTGATAATTTTGCTTGTTTTAAGAAATGTGCTTGAACCCAGCAAAATGATCTGCCTGTATAGAGAGATAATTTAACTTAATAAAATTATCTAAAACAAGTATATTTGTTTTACATATATTTAGATATACAATATATTAAATATATTGACCTACTTTAAGATCATTTCACTTGACAAGAGATCATTTTTGCAGTGCAGTCACATCATTGTCAAACCTGTCGCCCTTCAGTGAAATTCCTGGATTTAAATGGTGGATATGCTACTTGCGTGAATTGTATAGATTGAATGAGTTTCCAGAGCTGCTGGATAATATTAACTTAGCTAAAGTTACTGGAAATCAGCGCTTTAGCACTGCTAAATGAAACCTCTTCTGTGCAATAGAAGGTTCTTGAGCAGATAGTTTAGTTTTCACAAATATGATATCTCTCTTCAGTAGCTTTAGAATGGTGGGTAGTATGAGTTATTATTGTTTACAACAAAGACAGTCAGGGGCCACTTCATTTTTGTCTAAGATTGATGTAGAACACGTTGATTTCTGTGGACTATCACATCGCTACTGGCAATCATAGGTGTCCAAGGACTTCGCAGCTTATGGTGCCAGTATAGGTCTTTCAGCCGACAGAACACAAATGACAGTGAGTTTTTAGAATGGCCTCTATTTATAATAACTCTTGAGGAGGGATATTAAAAAGAGATGTCTGCCAAATTCCATACACATTGACATTGGTATGGTGAGCAATTGGTTATTTTAAACAAATATTTCAAAATACTTGAAAAGCAGTACAGTTTTTGACATGCCTTGAATTGTCATAGTTGTTGAACTCAATGAACTGAATCATTCTACAATCTTTATCTTTCAAGGGTACCCAATCCTGGTCCTGGAGATTTACCAGCCTGAAGAATTCAGCTCCAGCCCTTATATAACACACCTGATCCAATAAATAGATGCCTTCAGATGCATTTGAAAATCAGACACAGGGGTTTTGGATCTGAACTCTCCAGGGTAGTGCATCTCCAGGACCAGGATTGGTCCCCTCTGTTCTACAGCAATTACCTGTGTCCTTCTATGAATGAGCCATAATGCTTTATTTTCATTTCAAATAACTAACATTTTCAAAGCTAAGTGTTCCAAACCTCTGGACCCTGTACAAGGGGTTGGTTTCTGAACATGTCCCATTTTTCATTGCTTACGAGTTTGCAGGTTTATATTTGGTAGTTGGTAAATTATTAGCCTCTAGTTTTATGAAACGATGAGTCTAAATTTGTAACCAGGATTACTTGGATCATGACAAGCAGAAAAACTTCTAAGACTGACCTTTGAAGGTGTGGATTTCCATGCCCAGTGCCAAATGTTGGCTAGAGAGTCTTTGGAGTGATGGAGCAACTTTTTTAGCATAATTTGGAGTGGTGTTATTGATCCAGAACTAATTGTCTATTGTAAAGCCTTTCCAGAACAGTAGAGGCTGATGCTGCAGCAAAGCAAGAGCAGTTCCCTAATAATACACTTCATTTCAGGAGAACTGTTGGTTAACAGATGTCTGCATACAATTGGACATTTAGTGTACAATAAAAACCTCTATATAACCCTGTAATAGCCTGCCTCTGAAACATTTTCAGGTGTACACCGATGACTTGGAAGACAAGGCAATGTCAACTCTCTTCAACCTTGTCTGCAAGCTGTATGAAGTAAGTCCTATTTCTGTTTCTGACTTGAAAGTACTGAAAGTAAAATCCTAATTAGAATGTAATCAGAAAGTGAACTTGATTGATAATCAGCTTGTTTTTGTCCTCTTAAAGGGAATCAAGCCTCCTGTCTGCACTGGAGCCCTGAAGAAGCTGAACCGAAGCTTTTGTTAAACCTTTTGTTAAAAATTGTCATATAGTGTATACTGATCTACTTATGCATTGTAAGTAACTGTAAGAATTTAGGAGTGTCCTTTACATGTACACGTACATTTACCATTTACCTTTATATACACATTTATACTTCATATTTACATCACTAGAGCTTGAATATTCTTTATTATTTGTCTAATTGGTTGCTAATTCTGTATACCAATAAAGCAGAATTGTATCAATTTCTTTTTTCAAAATTTCAAAAAAATGCTTTGCTCTAGGGAAACTTTCCAAGTGAGAACTGTCAGAATGCCAGAATATACAAAATGGTTAAAACATGTTTCATGGTATAGCAGAGGGGTACATGCAGGACATTATCAAAATTGGAAATATAAAAATATAAAAACTCAGAATACGTTCTGGTAAAAATGGTAAAATGCCTATATTTCCATTGTAGACATCACAACTCTTGGTTCACCACTGTAAACAAAAGAAGTCTTTTCTATAGTTTTTCTATAATGCACCATTTCCCATCAAACCACTCTGAATCACTCTGTTTGCATTTCAACGGTTGAATTATGCATCATTTTTTGAAAAAACAGTGGAAATTTCTTCCTTAAAATGTTTTAACAGAACTATATAATGTAAATAACAGCAAAAGATGGAACTGACACATATATTCTACACATACCAGTGGTGAACCGTGACTATTAGAGCCAGGCCTTCAGTTTGGGTCATAACTGTAAAACCTGGTGAAAACATGAGAAAAAACCCACCTCAGTAAAAGTGCTAATTTTTGCTAGCTTTCCTAGTATTCTAGTAGTTTCACAGCGATTTGTGTTAAGATGTTTTGGCTGTACTAGACACAGACACTTTTAAAAGTTTCTAAAAGACATTCCTTGTTTTACTTTAGGCTTGAAGCTTGTGACACACATATTAGCACTGTAGCATTAACATTTACCTTGTAGCAGTTTCACAGTGACTCTGTCAGTAGAGAGGCTGGTATAGAGCTGCTGCTGCTGCCGTGGTCCATTTCTAACAAACCACTGATTAGGCTGCCGCTCGTATTCACAGTCAGTAACATATCTAGAACTTCCAGAAGGCCTTGAGTGACTTTTTGATGTTGGAAATCAGAACATGATTGGCTGATTTCTCTGTCATGTTGTAATTATGCTGATGGTTAGTGTAACAGTTTAGGGCTTCTCTTCAGCTCTTCAATGTCTAACCAGAAGGTGAGCTCTCTTAGCTATATCTACCTAGATACTACAGAGAAAAAGAAGATGGCCAGAATTTCACCATTACGTTTCCATTCAAAACTTAACATTGAAACAAGAGTCATGGTGTAATACTTGTAGAGTTTAAATACAAGAATGATTCTATTGAAAAAAAAAAAGAATTAAAAATACAGACATGTATTATTTAGCTCTGAAAGTCTAGAAAGCCCTGAAGGAAATACACTGGCAAATACACTCCTGGGTATAAAAAAAGGAGATAAAACAGTAACATATTTTTCCCACGTTTTTTCCCTTTATTTTGTCCATTAATGACACAAGTGAGGTATTAATACCTAACAATATAGCCTTCATTTTTTTTCAACATTTCACAAAATTGTAACGGTAAGACTTCTGTATTCTTCATTTATTATTATTATTTAGCACTAGATTTACCATTCTTCAGTCCTGTCAGTGTATGTATAGAATGATCTATTTCTATTTTAAATTGCACAAAAACAGTTTTTAATTATTTGCATTTTTCCGTAACAACTTAATCAACAAATTAATGATGCTGCAAAGCTTATGATCTACATTTTCATCATAAAAAAGTAAAAGTCTCCCTACATGGCGGACTCGTACGGGTCAATACTGGTGGGGGAAAATTACGCAAAAAGTCAGAAGAGCGTTGTCTCAGCGTTGGCTTGTAGGAAAAAATAGTAACCGTCTGAACTGGAAAAATAACATTTCCGTAATGGTCGTGTCCTTGTAAGAAAAGACATCGTACAGAAACCCAGAACAAGACTTTTATTTTGAAATGTAACATCCAGGGTCACTGAAGGTTTCTGTTTCCTTTCTACAACGCTTCGGTCAAACCGGCTCTGGTTTCCATGCCTTCTCTCAGCGCTTAGCGGGCTGCTGGTCAGATGTCTGATAGGTAGCTAATCTCGATTTAGTTTAAAACAAACACGTTTTCGTTTCGTTCATTCAGGCCGGTGTATATTTTTCTGATAACTGGTTTATGTTTTGAGTTCTTGTTATTGCGTTAACACTCCATAACTAGCCAGTCATGATACCTCGGAGTAAAGACTTACTCGTGCGGATATCTTTCTACTGGAAACCTTTTTTTTCGGGCAAATATCTGATAGTAACGAACATAATCAGCAGCGGGGGCATGCTGGCTCTGGGGGACTGTATTCAGCAAGGCAGAGAAAAGCGCCGCACGCCGGAGAAAAGCTGGGAATGGCAGCGCACAGGTGAGCTGATCTGAAGTGACCGCTGATTTCATCAGCAGAGCTGGACTGAGCAGAGCAAGCACACAGTAACTTCACTGAAGTAATGAATCAGGTAGAAGTGCAGGGTCATTTACCACAGAACGACTGAGAGAAAAATTAGAAATGTATAGAAAAAAATTCATAACTTCTTTCATGTGATGACTAAGAAGAGAAGACCGTACATCGATTTTTATGGATCTCCACTGGTGACATCCTGTATAAATAAAAATAATGTGTGGCCACAACTTAGTAAGGCGTGGGAACGAGATAAGTAAGTTGTGGCCACAACTTAGTAAGGCGTGGGAACAACTTACTAAAGCGTGCAAACGAGATCCTAATGCGTGGCCATGACTTTGTAAGGCATGATCTCATTCCCACGCATTACTAATTTGTGGCCATGCATTAGGATCTCGTTTCCATGTGTTAATAAGGCGTGGCCACGCATTATTTTTATTTATATGGCATGTCACCAGCAGGGCAGTGAACCATTTGCATGCTTAAGGGTTCTTTGCATGGTAAAAGGGTTCTTCAGATTGATGGAGAATGTGTTGTATATGGTTCTATATACACACATAAAATATGGTTCTTCAAGCGTTCTTTAGTAAAGAAAAGAACCATTCTCAAAAAGGTTCTATATAGAACCATATACAATACATTCTCCACCAATCTGAAGAACCCTTTTACGACACAAAGAACACTTTAATCATGCAAATGGTTTAATTAGGTTTAACTGAGTGTTTATGGTTCTATATAGAACCTTTTTGAGAATGGTTCTACATAGCACAAAAAGGGTTTTTCTATTATTACAAGCTTGGCATTGTAAAAATAACAATAAGCACTCAGAAAAGTACACATCCTTCAAAATTGTCCTTAAGTAAAGCTACATGAAGCCAAGGAGATACAACAAATTTCTACCCACCACTGGTCATCAGTAGGGGTGTAGTGCTTCTCAAACCGAGCCCAAAACCACAATACAAACGTCCACGGTCTCGTGCCCCTGCGCCCCTCAAACTCTCGTTTTAATAACCAATGTAACAAAACTCATTTTTCACTCCACAATCAACACTTTAACACATAAAAATAATGAATTTAATATTCTATTTAAAGTTAGGGCAAGCTGTTTATTTTGTAAACGCACAATACACAATACACATTTTATCGTTTTCCAACTGCGTGTGTCGATGATCGAGTGATCGCGCCTGCGGTAAAAGTTTGTTTAGTTAAATTAGCTCAATTTGGATAATAACCCTGAGACTGCAGACCCTCTCAGTCAAGTCAGCAGTGTGGGAACGTTTTGGTTATGCAGTGGAGTTTAGGAATGTCAGTCTTGTCGGAGACAAAACACACAATTTGTCGAAAGTGTTTCGCAAAACTTTCTCAGGCAGCAGAAAACAGTTCGAATATGCAAGAGCATATCAGTGTTATTCTCTTTAGCATTCCACAACTGAAGCGAACCGAGCCTCAAAAATGGAGGTTTGAGCCGAACCCTGAATTTAGAGAATTGTTACACCTCTACCCATCAGTGATGTTACCTCACTTTAAATATAAAGTTCTGCACAGATTTATTGATTGTTATAAGTAATCATGAACAAAATCAGAGCAATCTTGTAACTGGGACTCACAAGACTGCAAGAGGGCTGCACAGAAATTTTCAGATTTGGCGCAATGGACGTAAAGGACAGCATTCTCCTTATGCGTCTGGGACAGAGTCGTGTATCTCACGTGTACATATACTGGGAAATGATAATATCTGTCATCCTTTTTTATTTTCCATTAGCTAATTTGATTATCTACAGTGGCCCAGTGTCGGTTACAGGCATAATGCAGCTCAACTCAAGTTAAATTAATAAACAGCTGTAGCTTTTAACTCACATCTGTATATCTTCTTCTCCACCTTGTTGGGCAGACAGCTGTAAACAAACCCTACCAGTCTGATTGATCCTTGTCTGTATTGGTCTGCATTGAATGCGATCATCACCGTAGGCTGCACTAAGCGCGCATAGAGGGAACTCATGAGCACCCCTCTGCACAAGAGTCGCATCACTAACTAATGATCAAGCCCTTGTTCAACGGGATCTGGTGTGTTAGAGCAGGAAAATGCTGTGACTGGAAAATACATGACTGGAAATATAGGCCAGTTTCCCAGACCAACAATTTGCAGTGGTGATTCACAATTAGTACTACAATTTAGTCCAAGACTAGGCTTAATACATGTCTGAGACACTGGCCTATAAAGTATAAAAACTCATCCAACATAACTTCTTTCATGTCTTTTAGATGTCAGATGGTTAGACCATCTGATCAGTTAATTGCTTAATGCATTACAGTCAGCCTACATTCTGAACTCCATTTACCTCTTATATAATGATGTTATATTAGAGGTAGAAATTACATTTTTTCACAATCCTTGTTTAGCTGTGTACATGATTTAATAGCAGTACTTATTTTTGTGCAGCAATATATGGCTAAGATTTAGGTTTGATCATGTTTCATCTGATATGGGTCACAGAGGATGTGTTAGCCACAAGGTGGACCTCTTTGCTTTGCCTCAAATATAAGGTCTTTATATGCACTGGAGGCAAAGTGGTAATAATGTAACCACAAGAGGGAGACACAACCATAGCCAGTTTAAAGGGACCCTGGCTGCTTCCTATTCCTCGTATTACACAACAAAAACACAACTGCAAAATGCTCAGAGAATGTAAGTGAATGGAGCTAAATGGCTATAAATGTTCATTAATCATCTTTTTTAGTCTTTCACACAGGAAGTTCCTTAAAGTTTTGGAAAGAAGAAGAAAGCTTGCCAGTATTTGTCCATTTTTCTTTAGCAAACAGATCTTGGGGAGTAGAATGTTAGCATTACTGCTACTGAGTGCTGATTGGTTGGCAAGCTGTTTAGATCTTTGGCATGTAAAGTGATTTGTACACACTGATGTCATGAGTGTACATTGCGCACTGTTAGAAAGGCCAATAACTGGAGTTGGAAAGCGTTTAAAAATATGACAACAGTGTTGAAATATTTCATGCTGTTGTGTTCAGAATGTGATTGCTTTTGTTTATATAAAAATAACTAGATTTTTTTACTAAATACAGTTTGTATAAAAGCTCAATAACAATTCACTCACTCTGAACTCTCTTAGAAGAGTCTGGCATCTTACCAGCCTGGAATATATTAGTGAGTGGATTATATTACCCACTTAAGTGGTTACATTAAGACAATAGTCAATTTAGGTACTCATTTTCCATTCAACTCTAATAAACCTCTGGTCAAGGCTTACAATAAAGCATTGCTATATTCCACAGGGCGCATGTCTGCAGTAGGATGTTCCATGGGGCCTTTCCTCCACTATTGGTATCAGTGGCTGGACAAGGCCTATTCTGGAAGAGTTGTGAAGACTGTTGCCAAGAAAGTCTTGATAGACCAGCTTGTTGCATCACCAGTTCTTGGAGCGTGGTACTTCATAGGTAAGCTTCAGGCCATACATTGACCAGCCACTTCATTTAGTACAGCTCCTTGTTTCTACATTCATTCTACACTTATAATATAGGAGCACTTTGCAGTTTTACAATTACAGACTGTAGTCCATCTGTTTCACTGCATACTTTGTTAGCCCCCTTTCCAACTGTTTTCAATGGTCAGGACCCCCACAGGACCACCACAGAGCAGGTATTATTTGGGTGGTGGATCATTCTCAGCACTGCAGTGTCACTGACTTGATGGTGGTGTGTGGAGGTTTTAAACACCTTAATGTCACTGCTGGACTGAGAAGAGTCCACCAACCAAAAATATCCAGCCAACAGCGTCGTGTGACCATTGATGAAGGACTGTAGGACAAACCGCAGCAACAGATGAGCTACTCTCTCTGACAAGGTGGACCAACAAGGTAGGTGTGTCAAATAGAGTGGACAGTGAGTGGACACAGTATTTAAAATATCTGTTCTGTGGGGGTCCTGACCATTGAAGAACAGGGTAAAACACATTATACCGAATTACTACAGTCTGGAATTATAGAACTACAAAGTGCTCCTATATGGTAAATGGTGCTGATAAAATGGACAATGAGTGTAGATACAAGGTGGTGCACTTAATGAAGTGGCTGGTCAGTGTAATATATGTTGTGAATAATAATAATGTTTTCTTCAGGCCATAATTCGTTTGTGGTCCAGATTTTTGTATTGTTAATTGTTCGGTTTCATTGTCATGATGCATGTGGTTGTATATTTGTGTCAGGCATGGGCATCATGGAGGGCCGTGGTTGGGTCAGAGGCTGCATTGAGTTTAAAGAGAAATTCTGGGAATTCTATAAGGTAGGACAGTAAAACAATGTGGTTCCATTTTCTCATTTCTACCTTGTAAATTTTAGTATAAGTATATATTGGCACATGAACTACTCATAATGTAGAATGTTGCAGTAAAATGAAAAGGAATAGGCAAAATATTAAAGGGGCATTCTGGCCTAAAACTAGCATTTAATATATTCTCTGTTGTGTTTTGCAGTATTCTGTAGCACAAAACTGCATCTGTCAGCCTCTTTAGTTTGATGGAACTCACAGTTTTGATTGCTTTTTGTATTTTCATCCATCAGTGTCTATCACTACAGTACCCAGCATGCATTATGCAAATACAGTCGTCAGGAATCTACCCCTCAGAACGATCAGCCTAGGCTGATACATACAGTGATAAAAGCAGAGTGCTGCATGCAAGAGGAGTCATTCAAATGAAAAACATGAATGCTACATACTGAGCGGGCATGACAGTAATTTAGCTGTAACTAACGTAGGTATTATTGTAATTTAGACTGATAGTTATTGAATCTGCATTCATTGATTTATTCCTGTTCCAAAACAGCAGTAAATACAGCACGACAGAATTAAGAAATGACTGGAATTATTAAACAAATCCATTGTGAACGCAGATTTAACTGCTCTATTTTTGCCAACACTTTACTCTCAGTAACCTCACTCGCATCTAGTAGGCATAGTTTACTTGATTTAATTGAACACAAATATTTATTAGGCACTTCATATTTACACTAGAGATGCATTGGTAGAATTTTTTCCGGACCAGGTACGAGTTTTCTGGTACTTGCCGATGCCAAGTCTGATACCATACTGAATAACCTACGTAGAATTAAGAAGAAGAGTGCAATGTACCTTAACAGTTAAATCATTCTAATGTCATCAATTATTTTAAATGATGAGCATTAGCTAGCTATGCTACATTAGTTACCTTGGTTCGAGGACCATTATATTGGAAAAGAGCAGGTACAGTCTCTGTATCTCAGTGACAGTAGGAATCACATCCGAGGCTAAAGCATCTGAATTGCTCACATTTTGTGTTGTTGAGGTAGTGCTGAACTGGTTGAGCTCTAATTGAATGTCCTCCCAAGCCACACCTACACTGTGCAATTTTAGAAATCTTGTTCTTTGGTGACTCACACCGTACATTTGAATAGACTATTGTGTGCAGACAAATAGTCCGATTTCTGTGCATACACTGTATGAAAACACTCGGTTCGTGCAGCCCCTACAGACAGCTCTGTCCATGAACAATTTCAAAGAAACCTGTTGCATTCAGAATAACCTGCTGTGCACTGAGCAAACACACTGTGAAAATGAGCTACAGCAGTGCTGCTAACATCTAAAACCAGCCAGTGTACATGGTGGGACAGTGTGGTCTGTCTTTTTTTTTACCTTTTACATTAGGAAAATGGTTGTGTGTGTTTAAAAAAAAATCGCACAGTGTGATGGAAATATGCCAAACAATCCGTGTTTAAAGTCATTGATGTCTTTGTGTTCAACCTGCACAAGGTCAGTAACACTTCTCTGTGTGAGAAGACCCTCGCTCGCTGCCAGGTTGAGTCATTTGTTCATTATCACGTCATTGTACACTAGGCTTGTATCTTATGGTATCAGCTGATATCGGATGTTAGCCTTTTTATTAGGTCAAGTACAAGTAAATGAGCACGGTATCTGGCCGATACCCAGTATCAGTATCGTTACCAATGCATCCCTAATTTATACTAATAGTACTACTACTAATAATAGTTGTTGTTAATATTATTATTATTCTTTTTAGTAGTAGTAGTGGTTTCAGGTGACAGAAGATGCTAATAAATACTGACTAAGATGCGCCTAAACAAGTGTTTATGTAGATAAAATTCATACTTAAATAAAAAAAAAAGTGATTTTTTTTTTCCCTGGCTTTTTTTTTCAACTGGCCCCTTGCAGAAAACCAAATGACTAGTGACCCCTAGGTAATTTAAGTCTGAGACCCCAGCTCTAGAGACTTGTGTCACCGCTGAAGGAGGCGAGTAGGCATGTTCACAGCAGATGTAGCATTGGTCAAATGTTTCATTTTGGCCAGTGTGCCCCTTTAAGAATAAATAAATAAATAAATCAGTGGACTGTGAAATCTGTGTATAGGTCAAACTTGAATTTTATTTTTAAGTCAGTCCAGATGTACAGTGATGAAAACAAAAAGGATCAAGTGAAGACTTCAAAAAGTAATAACAGAAGACAGAAAAACATCCTTATGAATGTATTTTTATTTCACTAGGCGGACTGGTGTGTCTGGCCCACCGCACAGATGATTAACTTCTACTTCTTGCCGGCAAAGTTTCGGGTTTTGTATGTAAATACGGTCACACTGGGCTGGGACACCTACCTCTCATACCTCAAACACAGAGTAAGTTTTTCAAAGCTCAGATCACATTTCATGTTTTTTATGTCAACTTTTGAATCTGATTTGAAGACTTTTCTTCCAACAATATTCTGTATACAGTATAGATCATCTTAGTTGTTGACCATATGTAGATGTCTAAGACATTGCTAGCATGTTTAATTTGAATGATGGTCATTTTCATCCTTTTTTTTTTTATAAAATACATTTTTTTGCAGAAAAATCAGCAAGTGGACACATCGGAGCTAGATGTACAGGAATCATCAGTGCCTCTTCCAGCAGTGAAACCACTGGATGATAAACTGTAATGACACTGTTTTATCGTTAATTTGAGGTTCTCGGACCTGGAAACATTACTTGAATATGTTAATTGTCTAAGAGTACCAATTACATATATTAGTGATAGAAACTGCCATGATTCAGTCATTAATTTAGTGACTGCTGAAGGAGTCCAGAGTCCTGTACTGAACCGTTTTACATTGTCATGTAAACCATTAATGAGAAGAACATAAGGGAAGGTGAACAACAGTTCAGATCAAGTCTGAACACTGTCCTTTCCTGTATGTGACTGGGAATCTAATGATATTACATCTGGTTTTGGCAGCTATGACAAACTGATTGAGTCACAGCATTTACAGTCATGTAACTAGTCTCGTAATGATGACTTCGCATACTGTATACTGTATTTAAATGGTCTTTTTAGAGGATTTGGACTCATGATGTCTAGTTGCCAATCAGTAAAACCTACTTCGGACGAATGAAGTGCAATGGTTTTGGCTGAATGCCAGCTGCAGAGTTTACCACAACTGTAGTGCAGTTTAATTAACAAAGAATCAGATGGATAAAGCAAATGCATCATTACACTCTGGGTTACACTGAGTATATTATTGACTGGAGATGTGCATCTCATCCCATGTCTGTGCCTCCTGTTCTCCATCTGTTATTGTAGAGAAACTGCTGTAAAACTATCCTACTACTTCAAAGAGAAGTTACTTAAGTACAGATGTAAGCTGCTTAATTAAGATGAAAAAATGTGCCATATTTAAAGTACTGAAAGCACTGGATTCAATTATGTTCATCATTTCCACATGAATAAAATACATTACATCAACAGTTTTCATTAAACTGAAAGACAAAGCTGTGTTGATGTAATATATGTTATTCATGTGGACATCATGTACAAATTTCAATAAAGTTCATGCAGTGCGTTCAGTGCACTGTTCCAGGCCCACTGTAGATACTTACTGATGAGCCTGGGGTCTGTGGGCAGCGTACATCTAAATTAAAACTTCTAGTTCTATGACTAAAATTTAGCTATAACTCGACTTGATTATTTTAGTGAAGTTCTCAGGTACAAGTATTACCTTTTAACGGTTCTCAGGAACTCTACTGCATGTACAATACAGTGCAAACGTCAGAGACCACCCTTTCATTTATTACTTTTCCAAACAGCCATTAAGAACATGTTATTCATTTTTCAGCTTCGGCAGAAAATAAATAGATGCCTTGGCAACATAATGTAATATTACTGTTTGTTCACTAGTTAGTGTGTCCACCCTCTGCGTTTAGTACAGCTTCTTCAGTTGTTCTAGGAAATCTGCAGAGATCTTTTTCCACACCCCCAAGTTCAGTCTTAGATGTTGGTTGCAATTTCTGCTTGTCACAATCCAAATAATCTAAATTACACATTTAGAATCATCAGTCTAAAAATATTACTTCACACCTCTAACATCCACTTTTAGTGTTCTAGTGTAATTTTTCTCTTTTTTTTTTAGTGTATCAGCTTCTACACAGGTACACTGTGTATATATATATAATGTTGAGTTGTCTTCTGTCAGTGGAAGGATGGAAACACCTGTGGATGTTTTCAAATATGAAGCAGCTTGATTTTCTCCTCTCTCTCAGTGATCAAAGCTTTAAGTGCAGTTTATCTGATGGGGACAGTTTTGGTGGTCTGTCAGGTATGCAGGTGGTTGCTAGGAGTCCCATTTTCTCTGTAGCTTTTAATCATTTTTTAAACAATACTTTTGGAAACTGTTTTTTCACATATTTTCCTTTCACTTTCTCCTTCCATATGTAAGTGGGTCATTTTATATCTTACAATCAGAAACATCTCCTGAAAAAAATGAACAATCTGTGCTTAATGGCTGTTTTCACTGAAATTAAATAGATGGAGGGTGGTCTCTAACTTTTGTGCAGTACTGTAGTACATGTAACTTTCTACCACTGCCATTTGTTTCAGTGCTTTATGCAGAGCTTGTCCTTTTTACCCAATATTTGTGATTGGGATACATATATTTATATAAAAAATCCAAAGACCATAGATTATAGTAGGAAAATAATATTCATGCTGCAGTTCAGTGGGAAAGTGTAATGTCCTTTTTGTCTTGCTGTTTTTGATTTCTTTCCAAAGGCTTCCTTTGTGACTGTTATTTTCCCCTAAAAAAATTTTTATTAGCATATCTTTCTAGTCACTGTGTCATTCCTTTTGGTGTGTACAGTGACTGTTCCTGCCCTCTAGTGGACCATGCTATGCATGTACAATATTTGAACCTCCTGATATCTGTTTTTGTGCTGCCTGTAAAACTGAAATGTATTTAAAGAAGTTGGTTTCAATGCACCACTCCAATAATATGGGTAACTTTGCATTAGCTCTACTCTTCTATATCTCTGTAGGTCTTAAGCAGTTTTAGGAAATTGTATATGTATGTATGTGTATGTTTATAGATGTTAATGTGTAAGGTCAAAGCAATCATGGAAGTGTTAGCTGATTATAAATGTAATTCCAGAAAATAAACCTCTTGATTCTAATGTTAAATGTTTTCATGTGTTTCTTGGCAAGAAGTCTTGTCTTTTTCAGCCTCTGCTCATTTGTTCCTTCTTACGTGGAATGATGTATACCAATGCAAACAGTGACTAACCAGAGTCCGATATTACTGATAAGCTGCTGTTCAAGAAACCACACCTCTGCTACACGGCCACATCCTGTTAAGGATGTGGTTCTCACCTCTGCTGCAGAGTCTTATCAGCCACTGCGTTGTTTCGCAGCTGCTCTGCATAGGCTACTTGTGCTCAACAGCATGGCTAAAGTGCTATATGCTATAGCAATTTTACTTATTGCTTCAAGAGCTTCACCAGGTAGGCCTGTTTGATTGTTTCTCATCACCTGGTTTGACAGCTGTACTGCTTTTACATCACAAACTGTCGAAGAACTCATGGCTGAATGCAAAAACATGCAAAGTTCCTCTTCAAGGTAGGAAACTTGCCTATGCAAAAAGCCGTTTTCACATGGTACATTTGTACTGCAGCCTAGCTTGGCTATGGTTTGTGGTGTTTAAAGCTGGTTTCTCAAACTGAAATGTTTGCTAAAGTGATTATTTTCCTAAAGATTAAGTTGACTTGTTTAGGTTGCAAAAAGGAATACAAGTCAATGTTGCTGTAAAGTATAGTCTCATAAGCAAATCTGCACTGTCCAATATGTTCTAATGCAAGTGTTATTTTTTACTAGAATCCACAACAGTGACTGTTGGGTCTAAATCCGCTGCAACGCTGACCACTATACCTCGAGCAGATGCTGCATCTTCTTCACCACAATCAACCACTCACACCACTGTGTCATCGACAACACTGACCACAAGATCAAGCTTCACTGACAGACATGAGTCAACAAGGCACTCTTCTGAAGCAACCTCTCATACTTCCGCTACTAATTCTCTCAGCACAGCCACCGCAAAACATGCTACAACTGACACACATCGGTCAAAAAGTCCAGAAACAAGCACGTCTTCAAGAGCAACTGGACAGCATTCAGCATCAGTCACATCTTCACAACGAGGCAACAGCACAGTCTCTGAGCAAACAACAAAAACGGTCCAAAATGCCAGCAGTACACAACCCGACGCAACAGCTTCAACAAAGAAAGTAAACACAACCCAGACCACAGGTACACTGATTTTTAGCAGGAGAATGGAAAGGTTTGAACTGGTAGAGTGGTCAGGATTAACCGATTAAACTCAATTAAAAAAAAAATGGATTATTTTCAAATAAAATCCCCCTTTTTGGGCTGGAGCCAGAGTAAGAAATGGTCTGAAGGACACTTGCCACTTTGTATTTTTATATATGTATTATTGGAGGTCTTTTCAAAGCCTTTCTATTCTGAATAACTTTACAGGGTTATACATGATTGTATTTGTTTTGTAAAACTCTGATTACTTGATTAATTGTCAAAATAATCTCTAGATCGCTCGATTACTATAATCTATACTATAATCGATAGTGACCACTCTATTGACTTCTCTGAGTACTGGATTCATCTTCAAAATAACTGGTAGATTACTCGATTACTGATATAATCGACAGTGACAGCACATACTATAGACTCGCTAATTACCTGATGAAGTGCCAAAATAATTGATAGATTATTCAATCACTGATATAATCGATAGTGACAAGTCTTGCCTTCTTCGATTACTTGATTATCTGTTAAAATAGTCTACGGCTTACTCAGTCACTCGGTCAATATAATCGATAGTGACAGCTCTATTGATGTCTCTGATTACTTGATTAGTCTTCAAAATAATCGGTAGATTACTTGATTACTGATATCAATAGTGACAGCTCAAATGACTTCTCTGATTATGATTAACAGCCATAATAATTGGTGGATTACTAGATTACTAACATCAATAGTGACAGCTCAGTTAACCTCTCTGATTACTTGATTGATCTCCAGAATAATCTACAGACTTGACTTTAGTATAGTTATAGTGGTAATATAGTTGATAGTGACAGCTCTGTAGACGTCTCTGATTACTCGATTACTTGCCACATTGGTAGACAGCTTTATTAACTAATATTGCCTGTATTTTTTGGGCTTATCCCCTTTTCTCTTTTCATGTAGCTTCACAAGGTGTGGGAGGTAAAAGCTTGCCGATGAGTCCAGGGGTTGTGGCCGTCCTGTGCATTTTCTTCATAGTTCTGGCTTTGGTACTCGTGGTGGTGATCGCCAAGGTCATCACCACTTACAGGAAGCCGAAGTTCGAAAGGCTGGACGATTTACCAATGGTGAGTTTCTGTTTGCTCAGCTCACACCCTTTAGTACAACTTTACACGTTGCATTTTCCACATCTATCATCACTGCTTTTTCCTTGTTTTTCATGGTGACTTTCTTTTCCATCAGAGCAAGATAAGTGAGGATTCACCATTTGCCCGATACCCTCCAAAATAGAGAAGGCTTTGAAGATTTTCATCAAGTGCACTAAAAACTCCATGCGGATGTGAAAGACCTTTAAATTTCAATATGGAGTCCAGAGTGTCCTGCTAATGGAAAAACAGTTGAGATGCTCCTGCACTGTGGCCTAAAGCACAGTTAGCATGTTAAGCATGTATAAAGAAGTAGAAATGACCCCTGTGATATAGGTCAACTCTTTTTCTCATTAATGCTCCAGTGAAATGTAGCGGTAGAGTGGAAATTTTCAGACAGAATATACTACTGCACTATAAGTAAATGATTCTTTTTCTGAGTTGATTGTGAGATGCCTGTTTTAACCAACATGTAACAGAAAAGTCTGTACCACTGTTATTTTTTGTGTATGTGTGATAATGTAATCATGGCCGTAACCAGCACGAGAACGCCAAGGTCCGGACCTTAAAAGTTTTAGATGGGCTTTTTGAGATTCAGTGTGGAAAATGCGGTGAGACTATGCAGTCAGCAGTGACTGGTTCTTAGCTGACCTCAGAACAGCTGTGGTTTGGCCATAGATTTTACTGCCCGATATGTTTATATCTGCATGAGATTCTAAGCTACCAAGAGTGACTTTGGCTTCTTGAGATGATTAGGTATAGAACACATACAGAGTTTATGAGGGAAATTAATAGATTATGCTTGTAAACTACAAATCCCATCATTCTTTTATTGCTAACTAAATCAGGGTGCTTTAGTCTTGTTCTTGTAGCTGGAAGCAAGAGGAAAAAAAAAAGACAGAGGTAAATGAAATAATGTAAGACTATCAACCAAACTGGCAAAACAGGTTCAAAGTCATAGTTGAAAACACATTTTGGACTTTAGACTAAAATCCTTTTGCTTTGAATGACATTATGCCTTGCTTATGTTTAATTTATTAAAATAACTACCAAACCAATAATAATGCCTCTGAAACTTTACCAAATGTCTCGGCAGTGACAATTTTAGCAAATTTTGAGGATGAATCAAATATAGTGCATGACATGCTATATGGTACATGACAAGCAAACACAGTTTTGAACAGCTGTACGCTCATAAAATCATAATTTTTTCAATAAAACATCAAAAAGTTTACTTAATTGCAAAATATATGTGTTTTGATACTGACAATTTGTGATGTTGCACACTGATTTTCAGGCTCTGGGACACCAAAACAATGGGATCTAACTGCTAACCATGTGGCCATAAGGGACAGGGATGCAGTCTCACTTCCTGCTCTACAATGCAGGGGTGTGGCTAAAATACGGCCCCACCTACTGACTAAATCTGTGTTTCGGTTGTGACATGAAAACCTGGGAAAGCAGCTTCCTTATAAAGGTGTCTTTATTTTGACTCATGCTAAATCTAGATTGTTCAATTGCAGCTTCAAAGAAATAATAAAGATCTTTTTAAAAACAACACAAACAAAAACAAGTTGGAATTTAGAGTTTAGGTTTTGGGACAGACACCTTTTTTTAACTGTGGGACTGCAGATTGAACTATTTCAGTAGAATAGTCTATATAGGTTTCATTATGTGCTTTCACCTGAAAATAAGTAGGTAAATAAATAATTTTAATAATATGTAAATAAAATTAAACAAGGTAACTGGAGTTAAATCAGTTTATGGAACAATCAGTTATGGAGAGATGGAAGATAAAGGTAAAAGGTACATAATGATAATGGACAGATAAAAAAAGGGAGCAATGAGTTTATAAAAACAGAGAGCGAGAGTGTATGTGTGTCGGTCAATTCAATCATGTAATTTCTTCTGGCTCTGATGCTTGGCCAATGGACAGTAATTAGATTTGGTCATTGTGAAGGTTACTGTTCATGTGGCAACAGCAGTTGGTCCTGAGGTCAAGTATAAGTAGGTCAGAAAACTGCAAAAATACCTGTTAACAGCTCTACAGTGGGTGTAGTTATCTTAACTAGTAGTGAATAGACTCTGATGTACAGTGCTGTGAAAAAGTATTTACCCCCTTCCCAATTTCTTCTATTTTTGCATATTTGTCACACTTGAATGTTTCAGATCATCAAACTACTTTTAATATCAGACAAAGATAACCCAAGTAAACACAAAAACACTGTTTTTATTGGCGATTTCATTCACTGAAGGAAAAATGCTACCTGGGCTTATGTGAAAAAGTAATTGCCCTGCTACAAAATCAACCAGTTAACTAAATTCAATCGACTATTGGGTTCAATTTTACTAGCCACATCCAGACATGATTACAGCCACAACGGTTAAATCTAAACATAAACAGAACCTGTCTGGCAATGTGAAGCAGGCTAGAAGGTCTCAAAGAGCAACACATGATGCCACGTTCTAAAGAGATTCAAATACAGATATGAAACAAAGTCACTGAAATCTACCAGTCTGGAAAAGGTTACAAAGCCATTGCTAAGGCTCTGGGACTTAAGTGAGCCACAGTGAAAGCCATTATCCACAAATGGAAAAAACTTGGAACAGTGGTGAACTTTCCCAGGAGTGGCCGACCTACCAAAGTTTCACAAAGAGCGCATCGATGACTCATCCAGGTCACAAAAGAACCCAGATGAACATCTAAAAAACTGCAGGCCTCACTTACCTCAGTTAAGGTCAGTGTAAATGAATCCACAATAAGAAAGATACTAGGCAAAATGGCATCCATGGGAGAGTTGCAAGGCGCAAAAGAACACAAAGACTCTCGCATTTGCCAAAAAACATCTAGATGACCCCTCAAGACTTTTGGGATAATATTCTCTGGACTGAGGAGTCAAAGGTGGAACTTTTTGGAAGACATGGATTTTAGATCTGGCGTAAAGCTAACACCGCATTCCACCATAAGAACATCATACAGTCAAACATGGTGGTGGTAGTGTGATGGTCTGGGGCTGCTTTGTTTCTGCAGGACCTGGATGACTTGCCATTATTGATGGAACCAAGAATTGCTCCCTGTCAGAAATTCCTGAAGGAATATGTATGCCTGTTGGTTCATGACCTAGAGCTCAAGCATAGTTGGGTTATACAGCAGGACAGTGATCTTAAGAAACCAAGCACCTCTGAATGGCTCAAAAGAAACAAAATTAAGGTTTTGGAGGGGCCAAGTCAAAGTCCTGACTTCAATCCCATTGAGATGCTGTGGCTTAAACCTTAAACCAGGGGTGTCCAACCTTACCCGCAAAGGGCCGGTGTGGCTGCAGGTTTTCATTCCAAACAAGCTGGAGCTCACATGATCCGTTGTTTAAAGACTGACCAATTGATGGCGCTTTGTGATTAAGATTGGACACCCCTGCCCTAAACCTAAAACGGACAGTTCATGCTCGAAAACCCACCAATACAGCCGAATTGAAACAATTCTGCAAAGAAGAGTGGGCCAGAATTCCTCCACAGCGATGCAGAAGACCCAACACAACTTATTGCAAATATTTGATTGCAGTTGTTACTGCCAAGGGTGGCATAACCAGTTACTGGGTTTGGGGGACAATTACTTTTTCACATGGGTGATATAGGTTTTGGATGAATCTTCATCTTTAATAAATGGAATGATCATTTAAAAGCTGTTGTCTTTATCTTATATTAAAATTAGTGGGATGGTGTGAAACATTTACAGGTGACAAATAGCAAAAATAGAAGAAATCGGGTGTGGGCAAATACTATTTCACAGCACTGTAGCTGCACTGAAACTACTACTAGCAGAAAATTGCTTTAAGGTTGGGCTGGACAATATGACAATATTTATAATTAATTAATAATTACGTAATTAGGATACAAGAAAAATAACTGTAATCTGTTACAGTTACAGTAAAAGGAGTTGGTGAAAACAGGGGTGATTATCTTCAGGATTACAATAACCACATACACGCAAACTCATCACTGTTTGGTAAAAATTTGTCGTTTTGAATGATAAATATGTGTGTTTACATGCAGCCTAACAAGCCCTTAATAATCCGACTAATAGTTCTATCAGAATAGAATACGTCCACGTAACACCTCAATCAAAATAGACTAGTCCGATCGAGGCCATTCGGAATACAATTTCTATCCAATTGAACGTGGTGGGCAATCCTGTAAATAATCCGTTAAATAGAAGAATAATAGCTGTGTAAACTGTATCCGATTACATTCCCAATCGGAAAGTGTGAGTGCGTTCTGCGCATGCGCGTCGCGTCGTAGTGAAAGTTTATAACGTCCAACATGGCAGGAGCAGAAACTGGTCTGCAGAGGAGACGAAGTTTAGGCTGTGACCTTTAAAAGACGGCGGTGGGACGGACGTCCATTTTACATCTCAGAACACGACGCCTTCCTCTCAGCCTTCTTTAATAAGGACATGTGAAGCACGTTTTCCTGATTCTGACATCATTTTAAAGCAATTAAAAACACAAGGGCGCCAACGGAAAACTCACGTAAACAAACTGCTGCTCATCTCACGCATTCTGACTGGACGTGATGCTCGTTGTCACGGCAACGTCTACACCAGGTGGTACTCTACGCATGCGCATAATTTTGGCTCGGATTCTATACTATGAATGTATTCAATCGGATTGGCAAAATTGTATGTAAACATCTCTTCAGTAGGTTTCGAATGATGGGTGCATAATGTTAATATGTGTAAATTATCATTATTTGTACTTTAGTAAGCCAGTCCTGATTTAGCTTTCGTGTGAAATGAGTGCCTTTTAAACACGTAGGACACGTTGATTTGTGTGGCTGCTGGAAGTGCTTGAGAGTTTAGGGAGCGTCTACAAATAACATCACAAACAGAAACTCCAAGCACAGTGCACCAATATGAAGTATAATGACCTAATACAGACCATGATGATCAGTTGAAAGTTTTTAGAGTGGTCTTTATTTATTAATTATTGATGAGGAGGGCTCTCAAAAGAAGACTGACCTTGGTAAGCAACAGATTTTTAACAAATAAATGCCAGTAGAGCAGTGTAGTCTGTAACTAAATTGTATTTGCATATCTGTTGAACTCAGTGATCTGGATAATTTAATCTCAGCGTACCGATTGTTTTCATTTTTCTCAGCTTATTATCAGCTTCTTATAACCCCACCTTCTTTGTAGTTTAAGAACACCTGATTTTCAAATGAAGTACAACAGTCAAACATAAAGAGTGGGCAATAAATCAACTACAATCTATTATTTTGTTTCATAAAACAAAATGGAAAAAATGACTTCTTCCTGATGGAAAATTTCTTGTTGATTTTTGTCTTTATTTGATTATATGAAACAACAAGTAATCCAAAAGTAATGGAAAGTAATCAAATACGTTACTTTAAAATAGTAATCCTTTAGATTAGGTTACAATTACATTTTGTATCAGGTAACCAGTAATGTGTAACGGAATACATTTTTGAAGTAACTCTCCCAACCCTGCATATTACAACAGAGTATGCTTTTCTGACCGTATCATGGGTGCCATCAGTACATAAAGAACACACCAGTCGCATGTCTCAGTACACTACACAATATAAAAAATTCAAGCACACAAAAAACATACAAATGTCTTAAGTGGACCTCAGGGGAAAAAAATTAATGCAGGAAAAATTTTGGATATGGGCCCTTATCACCTAATTTGCATATACGTAAACACAAAATTAGATAACAGCAAAGGAATGCAGGACACTCAACGTGGACGTTCCTCCCTTATGTGGGTTCACAGCACTGACATTCCTGATAATCTAAATAATGAAGCCAAACTTGTTTTAGTCCAGCGAGATAAGAACTATTTAACATGTGTAGTGTTTGGTGTTCCCTCTAGGCAATGCCAGAATTGATCATTTACAGTTTATAAAGTAGTATATTTCTGATGGTTGCAATTTTGTTGACAAGGAAACCATTAAAGATAAGGGATGCATGAGTCAACGTTAGCCAGCTAGCTAGGTTGAGGTATGTTAGATCCACGGGTCAGAATGACAGTCTGTTCCTCAGTTAGATTTCTAAGAATGCTTTTACACGTCTAAATGTGTATAAAATAGAGATTTAAAAAGCTTTGCAAACTATCCCTTAGTTAAAGGGAAACTCCACCAATTTTTCAAAAGTTCCATATAATCAAACGGTTAAAATGTAAACAAAGTCATTCAGAGTTGTTTGATGTGAAATGCTCG